GAGAACACGTGTATGACCTGCCTGTAGGATATTACAACATGGACCATAACGACCACAGTGACTTGTTGAGAGCAGCCCTCTTTATGGATTTTCCTCGTTGCTCAGCGATATCAACCACTTTGTTGTCATTAATTTCATTTGGCCATCATAAACTTGAGCTGATCAGGAGATGAAATTGGTTATTGTATATTTGGCCCTGAGACATTTATTTATTTAATTATTTTCATAAAACTTCAGATTTTTTTTTGTGATAAATATCAAAACTGATAACTTTTGGAGTCACCCCAAATAAAAATGGCTGCCACAGCTAATATTAGCAAAAACAAAAATGGCTCCAACTTGGTATGTTTTACAAATATTGAGCTTGCTGTATGATTCATAACACATACTCCTAAGTCTTGTGAGATGTTGCAACATTGCACGAGATTGCAAATCATGTTATTGACAAGGTTTAATTCATCCCTTCTTCTTTTCTCTGCTTTTCGTGAAATGCCCTTTTCTGTTCTTCTGCCTGCAGGACTGTTGCTTCTAAACAGGGAAAAGCAAAGTGTTGCTTTCGTTGCAAAAGACCAGATACTGCAGTAAGTTATATTTGTGGCCCGATGCGACATTCTTGTTTTTGTGCATCATTCAGCCGTAACAGATTTACTGTAAATTTAACTATTGCGACAAAAAAAATCAAATGTAGTGAGGTCAATAAATAAAACTCTAACATTTAATTAGAAACAGCCATTTTCTGTCACAGCTTTCCTCTGCCTCATGAAGATGTTTATGCTCAGAATCCCCACGGACGGGCTACAATGCTCTCTGATTCAGCTAAAGTTTGTTCGTGTTATTATTTCTCAATTTCAGGCTACACCCAGAAATGTGACTCAAGGACGGGCATGCATCAAGGACATAATGAAGAAAACCCTCCCRAAGATTTTGAGTGGCTTGCCCTGTTTCGTTTGCTGGAAACCTCACCGCGGCTCTGTCCAACACTGCTGTCAGGTCATTTAAACAATGCCTTCCTCCAAGAGAGGTTTGGGACAAACAGCCCAGAAACAAATTTATTACTGAACTGCACRAATACACTACAAATCTCTCCCAACATTAGAGCAGTAGAAGGTTGAAGGAAAGCAGCAAAGTGACTTATGGTTCTAAATGTCATTCATGTTCAATCAAACAAGTTTCTAAAGATGCTTCTTGTGGAACAAGGAAAATAAATAATTTTGACATTAATGCTGCATTCCACAGTGCCCTTTGTTATCCTTACATTTACCATTGAGTAAATGTTAACCAGGATGTTTGAGGTTTTTAATCTACCATATAAACTAACAGGAAAATCACAAGTTTAAATCTGCAAATGTACTGAAATTTAACATTGGTTATATTTGTTTGACAAGTTCAGTATTTCTCAAGTAGCTATATTAGGTTATGACATGATGATCTAAATATTGCTTGAAAATGCTCAAATAAAAGTTCATCAGAAAGTTTACCATATTCGCTCATATTAAACACTTAGATTGTTGTTGTTTCTCACCAGYGTCGCTACTCAAATGCACAGAACAAAAACCATCCGAATGTTGATACTGAATCAGTTCCATCTTTAATAAAGATGTGTGTAGTGGCTCTGGATGATTGTTCAGAATTGAAGCCAAATGTCTGGTTTTTATAAGCGGCCTTGTTATACTTCTGGAACAGTATCCGAGAACAGTGCAAGGGCCTGTACCGTCCATTTGGACGCCCCATCCACACATCCTGCCAACGCGCTGTCACACTGCCCATGACACTTTTCTTAACTTATGGGGAAAATAATGCATATTTCTTCAAATCTTGATGGTCTGAAAGTTTACTCAGGTCCCAGCAGACGTATATTCATTACCTTTRCACCATCAGCACACAGTAAAACTAGACTTTAGAACTGATACAAAATAGAGAACAATTGCCTGCAACTCTGTTAAAACTGTGCCAAAACCTTGCTCAGTTGATTTTTTTAAATCAAATGCTTATTAATGACTCTTTCTTTTTACATCATTATGAACTGTGATGCGTTTTAGAAAATCTAACTTGTGGTTTTTATACAAATCACCTTTCAGGCAACATTCACTGACTTTTTTACWGACAGTCCACTGACCCAAACTTGCCCTTCATGGAGGACTTCAGTGTCTTTCAGCTGGCAACATTATTCTTGTCGTTTGCTCCCTTCATGGACAGAAAAAGKTTGCACATTTCTAATGAGGACGTAAGGACAGAACAAAGGCTACTGCAGCATGGTTGTGGTGTCAAACAATTTCAGTCTATCACAGTGTATCCTTTTAAACTTTTCAACAGTAAAAAAAAATAGGTTTTAGACAGTACTGTTAGCAGCTTTAAGCAAATAGGAGGGTGGGCATGGAAACGTTGCAACATCTGCGGGATTCTGATTTATGCTGCTCCTCCTCAGTCTCCATATTCAGATAAATTATCTCTGCACATCTTATTTGAACTTTTACGTACTTTGCTTAGAAGCAGTGATTCAAMCATTTACAGTTTAAGGAAGCGGTTGCTCTGTTTGGACTCTTCTACTTTACTCAGCAGGAGATGGTAGGGACTTTATTGGTCCGATAGCCTTTGAAGTCGCCCTACAAAAAAAATAAAATAAAAAGAAACGAGAGGAAGAAGCTTTCTGATTGGATCAAAGGAGGAAAGAGACAAGGAAATGAAAGTAATGTGTTTTGGATACAGCTCTACTGGAGCTCAAAGTGATGGATGATGTATACAGTGAAAGGAAATGCTTTCAGTCACATTTAACTAGCTGCATTTAGTGCAGATCAGCACTCAGATTGTTTCTTGAAGAAACAAATTTAAAATGGTCCGCAGCTTAGTCAAATATTAAKTTTAGCCTCATCCTGAGCAGAAAAAAACAATATTAAAATTAAGTTTTAGCTATTTAATTTCAAAATTTTCAAATTTCAAATAGCCTAACTCTCACTTAAAAATATTTAACTAYGGTTTAGAAATCACTTTTCAAATCTATTAGTCCTAGTTTATACTGTATATTAAATCACTAAGTCTAATTTTACTGGGCTATTTAGCTTTATTATAGTGCTTCTTATTATTTTCAACAATAATAAAAGTTCATGCTCATTTTGAGGAAGTTAAAGTTCTTCAGAAAAACTTTAGRATGCCACCAAAGCATCATGTTTTATTTGATTTTAATACCATGTGCCCATATAAATAACCAGGCCTGCTCAAACATATTGAGACATTTTAGCTACTATCTACACTCGGTGGCAATTTCAAAAACAAAAAACAGCAGAAACGTTTGACGACGAAGCTAATGATCCCTCACGGATTATGAAATTCTGACGCAGTAAATGTAACGTGGCCTGTTTTCTTGTGTCCTTGGCAGTTTGGGGTGCACTTAAGTAAACCTTAATCAGCCAAATCAAACCCAGAAAGCAGATTTTRCATTGAGGAGAAACCTGTTTGTGAGTGTTTCTAGGCACTGAGGCAGTGTCTCTGCCAGATGTTTAGGTCATTGTTTAACATCTGTAACCACAGTTTGAGGGAGATCATGAACAATCATTCCGACATTGAACGGAAAAATAAACACTGAATTAGTGTGATATTGTCCTAGAATAACCCTCTTCACAGTCTTGTCAACCGTGACTGCATTTTTATTATTATTACTACATCATTTAATGGGACAGACAACAGCTATCACCATCAGCTGATATTTTTTTCTTGTCAACGTCTTGTAAAGCACTGGGTCAGTTCACCAACCAGTGTTCTTACAAGTCAGTCAYCACTATCTCTGCTCCTTCTGATAGAAGATGTCTGAGAGCTTCCTGCTCCTCTGTGACTCCTGTCTGCGTCACTGGCTGGCAATCACAAGTTTCCCAGCAGGCTGCACTTACAGCTTTATCTCAAACGAGGTTGACCAAAATGATAATAAACGCACACATACACAGGCAAGGAAATCTATGTTCCCTAACAAGGGACTGTATGAGACGCTGGTAGGATTTGGGACACTTGTCAGAGAGCCGCTTATCAGGAGTGAGTTTGCCTACAAGTGTCACTCTTTAGTTGAATCCCACACACTTAGTAAAAAAGACTGACAATGTGTGTGGGATTGACTATCCTCTCAGTTATCATTTCTTTAAAAAAAACGCATCCTGGCATTTGTCGAGAAACCTTATAGCTCGTAATAAATATAGGATTTTAAACTACATCAATGAATACTTAAATTTGTGATTATTGCAGGCAATATTTGAAATAACGTGGCTTTAAAATTAGGTAGATGAGCAATTACTCATATTTAAAAAGGCCAAAACATCCCGCACAAGGCCATGGTATCTTGAATTTATCAGAATGCAAGTATTTCCATTATAAACTGGACAACCTCTTACAGAGAATAATGTAAAAATTAACACCAACTGTATGGTTATAGAGAGGGTAATTTCATAACCTGATCTGTCAAGGACATTACTTAAAGCGAGATCTTAAATTAGAATTTGAAGTTTTTTGGGAAGATTTTAATTAGCCCAATCTTGCAATCTTGCCCAATCTAGCCCAATCTTGACTAAAATCAAACTCAGTCTATCATCCTAAAACAAGTCCTGTACATCATCATTTAAATCACATTATAGTTTATGATACAGAATTTAAAAGGTTATTTGCAAGCAGGAGAAGCTATTTGTAGCCCTTCTGGTAATGTCAGGGGCACTTCTTGTCAGAAAAATCACAATATATCTGCCAGAATGACTATGGATTACAAACTTAGTGTGAGACTAATTTATAGTAGAAGTGTTTGTATGAACCACTATGATGAGATTGCAGCCATTTTAATAGAGAATGTGAATCCTGACAAACTGAAACCATTTCCCCAAACTGAGATTGACCAAAGAGCTATTTACAACAGGTAAGATATCAGCTGTTCATAATCCCTCTGTAAAAACCTCACTTCCACTGTTCCACGTAAAACTAAAACTACAAATATGCCAAGAAAATCCACATGAATAGTTAGCAAAATCAAATTCACAGAAAAGATCAACAAAAGATTTATTACCAACACATAGCTTGCATCTTTAGTCATCGATATTGACACTTTACTATGTAGCATCAACAACAGATATAACTGGATGTCTGCAGAAAACGCTGATGACAAAATATTTAATAAAAAAATCCATAAAGTAGAATAATAAATAGCCGCAAACTGTTTGACTTTAAAAGTCACAGTTGCTCTTTAAAGTGAGTACTAAAGGATAACTGGACACTTGAGGAGCTACAAATACATTGTGGATGCTGTCAAATATGATCAATGTCTTTGCTTTATGTGATGATACAAAAAAAGGGAACCAATTATAAGTTTTCCAGAAAATTCCTTGAAATTTTGGACCTTTACCAGGGCCCTCTTTGTGACAAATTAAAAATAAAATYAGGGAAACTATATCAACTGATCCCACAAATAGAAGACAACAGATGAGGATTGCCCCCCTCTCCACCCACATGGATCAGGAGTAAACAAATGGTATAGACAAACACAGACAAAGACCAGGAGGACCGTGAAGGGGTCTAGACACACTGGGACAGTCCGTTCACCCCTGTCCTCTCTGACACATCTCATCTGGCCGTTGCAGTGATTTGTGAAAACACGTTTCAGTTATACCACAGCCAGATGGAGGTCTTATTGTGCCTCTAGGATCATACAGTCCATGCCTCATTTCCTGTTCATTTCTGCAATGTTCCCGCTCGTGCTCTTCTTTGGATACTATTGTAGAAACAGTATACTGAAAGCCATGATGATGCAGCAGCAAGCCACCCAGGGACTCTTCCGCTCACCTAAAAAAAGGATCAATGCCAAATTCATGCCTGAACTGGTATTTTACAACATATGACTAACAAAGGAAAATATTTGATGTAAAATGAGAAAAAAATAGGCTTAGGCTTACCTATTCTGGCACATTTCCAGAAAATTCCTAGGATCCTACAAAATAAAACAGATACAGAAAGATAAAAACCAAGATATTTTTTATTCAAAAAAACAGCCATTATTTTAAGAGTATTATTAAAAGATAAAAAAGTCTCTTTTCTGTCCATCTATATATTTTTGCTTCTCTTAATGCTACCAGATGTTTTTAGCAAGATTGAGACACTACATGCGACATTTGCTAATTTGTTAAGAAAAGAACACCACTGATCCTAAGTGACGATGCACAATAAGCCAGGGTGTCWCTACGCTGCCTGTCTAGATACGGAGAACCGCCTGAATCTCTGAAACTAAAACTAACTAAATAAACAAACAGTATTTTATTTCACTTGGCAGTTTTCTTTGTTATGACTGGTAGATTGTGTTTTTAAATTCAACTACAATATAAAATAGCAAAAACGTAATACTTAAGTGTAGCATAAGATATACTACATAATTTTGTGCTTGTTTTTAATAGACTACTCAGCTCAGCATATGTATTTTTAGGCCTGTGTACTGGCAAGAATTTGGCGATACGATACATATCATGACAGAGGGGTCACGATACGATATATCCTGATATATTGTGATACTGTAAGCAAGGCGATATTTTGCGATGTATTGCGATTTTTTGTCCAAAAATTCTATTAAATAAAAACCTCTTACCGGGAAAAAAAAAAAAGAAAAACCAAAATTCATTGTCTCAGAAAATTCTAATATTACATAGACCTACTTTTGATACATTTAGCTGTGTTCTGCTTTGTATGTATTTTGATTTTATTTGTTTCATATTTCTTTTTTCATCCATGTTTTCAATTATTAGATTAAATTTGCCAATAAATAGTTTGAAAATATATATTTTGCAGCTTTTAGTTTTTAATATTAATTTACAATATGGTCACCCAACACTTAACAATAGCCTCTACCTCAATAGGTAGAGGAGCCAAATGGCTGGCTCACTGTTACCAACTAGTGGTCAGAGGCTGAACTACAACATAAAATGAACGGCTGGCAGGAAAGTTGACATTTTAAACCTTAATAAAAAAATCGATGCAGGGCTTTAGAATATCGATACAGTATCGGGAAATGAAATATCGCGATATTTCAGTGTATCTATATTTTCTTACACCCCTATGTATTTTACAACCAATTGAATAAAGAAATAAAAATTTTGCTAATGCCAAGTTTATCATCTATTGACCTGGTTTGTAAGTTTGATATGTTATTGTGTACTCTCTCTTTTATGTTATTTCTTATAAACAATTATTTTGCCACTCAGAGGGCAACTTGACAGCTTCTTCAATGTTTATTCTCTCAATCAGTGTCTGATCATACCCGGTTTTATTCTTGTCCAGCAGGCTGGGAGCCAGCGCTCTGATGTAGGCACAAGTACAGATCAGGAGAAGGATCACGGTTAGCAGTGACTGGAAGTTGAAAATGGCCGACTATAAGATGAAAGAGAAACACAAACGTGGTTAAAAATAATCAAAAGTTCAGTTCTGCTCATCAGCACTGTTCCACAAAATCTAAAAATAGTAAATGTCTACAGACATGTTTGTTTCCTGAAGCAGTTTGACAGTTTGGCAGAAAAACTTACAAACAAACATGAAATATTTTTGACACAAACTACATGCACCTGAAAAATAAAGTTCATGTTTAATAACTGCATTATTCATTGCAACAATTATCTTTTTTTCTGCTATTATTGCTTTCCAAGTTGTCAGTCTCTAATGCCAGACTCTTTTATTATAATAACCCCATCGCAATCATTAAAGGATAAACTGACATGGGTTAAAAAAATATCTGCTAAACAAGGTTATAAGTTCACATAATTGTGAYGCATCACATCGAAATGAGGATTAAGTCTAAAAGTGGTATATCGATAATAGGCGAATATAGTGTTTTGATAAAAACACTTCCAAAAGTTGTATTTTGTCAAAATATAACAAATAAATGCCTTATCAATGTTTTATTTGAATTGACTGTATAAAATTTAATCACAAAATTTTTTGAAGCACTTTTTGAGCAGTGGCAACAACAAACCTGATTTTGAGGGAAAAACACCTTCAAATTTGAGATTTTCCCCGTGAGCTAGCAAAATCTTTCTTTCTTTCCAGCTTGGAAATCTCAATATTTAAATACTATTTGAGATTTTTCTTCATAAGGAAATGAAAAATTCCTCACAAAAATAACCAGACYCAATGTTAGTGTATTATTATAACCAACAAGACAAATTATCTCTGGATATGCTTATGCTATCAGGACGATCGAGGTATCAAAAAGTAGCTTTTAAAGCCAGGAATCTGAAAATGTGATTAGGTTATTTTGACCAAATTTGACTTACCGGTAATCCTCATTTTGATATGATGGGTCACAGAAAGTTGTGCCATTAGTTACACATGTGAGATGATATTCAACTAATCTAGCCTACCCTGAGGGTACTGTTTGCAGAGGAAAACATAGCAGGAAATAGATGYAACATTACTTCCATATCTAACTTTATAAAGTTAGATACGTAGTACCATATGTGACAATTAAAAATCATAGAGTAAGAACTGTAATAATTCGTTTCTAGCTTTATTTTTACATGCTGCATACGTTATAAAAGAAAATATCTTCATTATGCTYGCAAGCACAAACAGTGAACCAAATCATACTTCTCCAATTCATACTTTGGTCCAGCGACGTGGCACGCCTCATTTAAATAGATTCGTTTACCATTATTTCGTTTTACTTGTAAGTCCTTGTTACCATACAACTTATGCTAAAATACAACAAAATAACCGTATGCGATGATATAGGTACCTTTACTGATAGTGAAAACAAAATAAATTCAAGAGAAAGCGATTTATGCTATCGCTCTGCGTGAAGTTAGCTCAGTGTTTTAGCATTACGACCACGTCTAACCAAACACCAGCGTTGGTTGTCGTCACAGTTTACTAGAGACAAAGGGTGCGTGTGGAAATKTGTGATTATGATGCAAAGAATAGACGTGACACATTTTATTAAAACAAACTTACCATTTTTTGATAGGAATCAAAGCCACATCACACTTCCTGCCTTCTGGAATTTACGTAACGTCCCCCAATGAAAGCTTGCGTTACGTCCTGACGCATTGCGTCGTAAAATGTTGCTGATTGGCTGATAGCAGGACYCACGAGCTGTCAACAGAGTGAAAGCTACAAACACTTGAGTTACATTAAAAGACAGTTTGCCTCATTTGGACATCTCATAGAACGACGTAAGTTTTTCGATGAAAATATGTTCATTAGCTGCATTGTMTATACAAATAAATACCACAAATGTTGTTAAACAAGAATAAACCACAGAAAAATGTGTCTTAGTAATAGCATACTTGGCGCTCGGTGTRGTACGGCAAGGCGTTTGAGCATTTATTCAATTTTCTCGAACTGTATCATTTTCCTGTACCATTTTGCTCTTTCTCTGCCCTAGTTGGACTTTTTTTTTTATTACATTAGCTTTACATACTTTGTMGTAAGTGAACAAACACAATTATTAGGAACACTTTTTGCCAACTGACACTTTTGTTCAACTATTTGAAAGAAAAGCCATAATTGTACMCTGAAGGTTACAATTAGTTGTATATTTACTGTGGTTCACTAGCCCAAACATGCAAATGAATGTGTTGTACTACTTAACCAGTGGGAATCAAATACATATTATGTATTATTAAATAACATAATAACTTGTCATTCACAATAGTGAACCAATAAAGCTAAAAATGCTCGTCTGTCTTATTGTCTCATAGTGACGTAAACATGCATTTTTGTGGTCCACTTTCCTCTTAAAGTTTTCACAATGAAGTCTCCTCCCTCCAATCAGCCACACAGCATCTTGATTGCATTTAAACTATGTTTTGTAAATCCCTCTCGACCCTTGCTTCTCAGGCACTCCTAGCGAGGCCTTCATGTGAGTGGAAGTCTATCAGACTGAAAACCGCACATAAATAAATTTTTAGATATTATGCTGCTATAACACAAGTGTAAACATACTCACATTCTTCATAATATGATTCACTTTTATAGTTTAAAGTGTACTGACCATTATAGGCATCAGTAATGCATTCAAATCAGGGAATACTCAGGGAATACTGTAGCATGCATAGTCCTTTTTTAGTTTAAAAGAACAATCATTTTAGGAACAGAATATTTATTAGAATAATTTGATTGTTTGTTGAATGTGATCCAGAAAATGCATTATTAACCATTATAATGCAGATTTTACCCTTTCAGGATACAATGTGCATCATTCTTGAGGAAGAGYTCCAACAAGTGTCTTAGGTGTTCACTCAGCCTCCCAACTTTCCAGATACCAATCTGATGGGACTTGATGGAATCTGTGGGAAGGAATCCACAGAGACTTACCTCCCACAGAGCTCAAAGGATCTATTGCTAATATTCCAATACCCCATGCTCCAGGACACTCCTAAATGTCGCTCCTGCATGTTTTGACTAGTCTGAACTGCTCAGATGCCCAATGAGGGCCTCCATGTAATGGCTGGAAGGCCAGTGTGCTTGAGGTAGCACTTATGCCATTAATTTCCCTCATTTCACATCCAATAGGTTAAACGTGTTATCAGAACAAACAATATAATTACTGTCTTCATTTCAGATTGTTTAAATTGAATGAGAGACAAATGAAAAATGTACTTTAATCCAACTTGACCTTTTTATCCTCTGATACAAAAAAGTCTTTTGCGCTGAAGGAAAATGTATGAAGCAGCAYACCGCATTAAATATAAACACTTATTTCTCTCTCTCTGTATGGATTTAAACAGTTTTCACAGTCTTGATGATGTAATTTTAGTCCCCTATCTACACACTTTTATCAAAATAATACCCAGTGAAGAATTTAACCCTCCCTTTGGGATCATCGAGGTATATTTGAACTGAATTGAATTGAACAACATTTAAGGTTTGGATGGTAAAATATTCTGGAATACATACTCAGTGAAACATTTATTCAAAAGACAGTAAAAGCTGTGCAGTTTCTTAAGTTTTCATAAATATCGTTCAAGTGAGGTTTTTTATTGTGTTGTTAGAAAATAATATATGCTACAATGCTTTATTTACATTTAAGTGGAAACTATCCTGAATAAGACTCTTGTGCATAGGGATGACCCAACCAAGTGATCAAGAAGCATTTTTTTTTGTAGCAGTAGAGTTTACCTATTGTTTCAAAATATGTTCAGGATTACTTTACCAAATTATGGTAAATGTTCCAAGTCTGGTCCTGGCATGACCTGATGTGAACCTGTCCTGTTAGCTCTCCATGACAAAGTTTGTAACCCTGACTTACTGCAGTTTATATATAGTTTAATTATACCAAGTAAAACAGCACATCTCTGTAAATAGGAAATAAAAGATATATTTGACTGCTGCTGTGAATGACAGCTCTGCTTTTAATGGCAGACTTGAGGTAATGACAGTGGACTTCCTAGCAAAGCCTCCTTTTAATCTGGCAACAGTTGTATCAGTGAAAGCAAAGTGACAGGACTGAGCTAATTGGTTCCATTAAGTCATATGTCTTAAATTTGAAAACTTTCTATGAACTCTTTGTTTTTACAATTAAGAAGCATGCTATTTTTGTCTTTATCTAACTTTACTTAACAAGGAAAATCTGTGATAAAATAAATAAATAAAATCTCTTATGCTAAAGTCTTTCAACAAAGGCAGGTATTGGTGCAGTTTAAAATGGTACAGGCATACTTATATTACCATGTAAGTACATTTCAGAGTCAACATTTTTAACCAAATGACAATGGAATAAGCTGTGTTAGCACAAAGAAATGAGGTAGGAAAAAAAGATAAAAGCTACTGGTTAAGATTACCAGTGTGTCTTTCTGTCTGAAGAAATGCCGACTGTGAGATTTCAGAATTGGCTTTGATGGCTTTGCACTGCTCTCCGTTCTTGACAGACAGTGCTGTTTATTTAATTGTCATTACCACAGGGCCATTGTACCTTCTCACCAGATGTTACAGTAACTAATGACTAGCTGGGTTCACTTTACGAGGTTAAAGTTGATGCCTTCAGCCACACCCCCTCTCATAGCACAAAGGGTCAACTTTAATCTGCTGAACGTTAATGTCTACATAGACATTTGATGTATGTGGAGAAGGTGCTYATGTCTTCAGCATGTCTCATTTTGAATAACTTTGACCTCTCTGTCTCATGCTACAATGACTTTATACAAATAAAAGGTACAAAGGAATAACATGCTGTCACTGCTTTATGCTATAACTTGGTCTATAGGGGGTCATTTTCATTTTTCCCCCCGTGTTCGGCTCGGCTGACTACTAATTTAGTTGTCCCTCTCCTGCTATCTCTGCAAAATTTGCTCTGTGTTTAAGCAGAGAAATTGTCCAAGTCACCTCTCACTTGTTGTAGAATCAGTAATCACGTTCTGGACCGGCCGTCTGCATTCAAGTAAAAGTTTCTTAAGCCATCTGCGAAGAGGACCAATGTGTACCTAATAGGGTTTTTAGGAACAGTGACATGAATTATATTGTAATGCTTTGATCAATGTCTTTTACTTCTAATCTGCCGAGCAGCAGCTGTTTCTAGCTGTAGACTTCACTTTAACTGCAGCTGTGAGTCAGGCACAAAGTCGTTAGTCAAAGGGCAAATGTGGTTTCGACTGTTTATCAGTGTGGCATCGGCAAATAATAGGTCAGTGTTGCAGCATGAAGTCTATGAATGAACCATTTAATTAGTTAATTTCCCAAACTATTTAATACGTCAATTTATATTCAAAACAATATTGTGGGTGAAGAAAATAGACACGGCCGTCACTAAAATAGAAAGGTTTAGAGGGACATTAGAGATTTTTTTTATTAGACTGGATGAACTCGTGCTTTTTTTCCTCTCGTAGATGACCGTTTTGTATCGTGATACTCGAAAAATAAAGATAAATTGAGCAGTCATCCCAGCTAAAATTAAAAAAWATATATATATAGTTGATGTAGGGTTGGGCATAATCATATCGTGTGCAATTAATTATCAGAAAAACATTAATCGATTATTTTTTGGCACTTGACGATTAATACGATTAATGCCACCAGGCAGACTGACAGGATATTTCGCCAGTCAGTCTGCTCAGTGCTCCTCTCTGCTTCAAATATGACGAATATTAAAAAAATTCTGTAATTTATTTATCTATCAACACAGTTTAAAATTTGATTTATAGCCTGAAGTCTGTAATTTTAACAAAATTTGGAACAGATTTTTATGAAGAGCAAATCTTTCTTACTAAATTGGTCATGTGACTAGGACATAAGGGTGTCCAGGGACTCCAGGGTCTTAATCGTCAAATTAATCGTTATCGGCTAAATACCACAATTAATCGTGATTAATTTTTTTTGCCAATATTGCCCCTACCCTAAGTTGATGTGAAAACCCAGTTTAGATCCATAAAATATTGCTWACTATGGCAAGTAGAAGAAAAGACAACAGGAAACATTTTTTTAAACACAAAACCTGTGTTTTGACATGCTTATTTCTAAAGCTCTATTTTACCAAAAGCAGAAAATGAGAAACAATGTTATATTTATATTTTACAATTTTGCTATATTAGATATGTTTGAGGCTACAACATTAGAGACCCCTCGAGAAATAAATTTATTGCACATATTTAGATGAACAAACACATTTAACAAAATCAAACAACTACTTGGACTTTTTTTGAGATATTCCTGTATTTATCTTTAACAGCATGTAATTACCTTGCTGGTGGTAGGCAGCCCACASTTCCACACAAAAACCTGCCAAAACTTGTAAATCTCCGTGTGGTCCTACTGACTAACAGAGACCCCCTGACTGAAGAAACCTACTGGAACCTTTATTAGGTAAATCCGAGAAGTGGAACAATGAAGTGCATTGATGCAACTGAAGGATTCCACATCTTTACAACATCAAACTGAAATGATTGGAGGGGTGTTTTCAAAGAAATGCTGCAAGTAACAATAGGGCAGAAAATTAAGCTGAACACAATAAAGGGAGGCTTTGTTGCTGGAAACATTTATTTTAATGACATTTTGTGTAGAGTTTCTGAAATGCTGTGTTGGATTTTTTAAATTTTTTTTTTACAGGCATTAAAGGCAAGCATGAGTGGGACAATTCGCCAGATTTCTCTTAGCACTCATCTGGACACGCCCYACTTCCTGCGAGTGGACTGGGCTGTGGACCTGGGTGCTGGGTTTACAATAGCTCTCACCGATGGCAGCTCTGCATGGATTGGTGAAGGTGAAGATTTTTTATTGAAATTAATCACAAGACACTATAAGACACATRGACATGTTATGGCTCATGATCCATTTCTAACCCTGTAGCGGTCACCATTTGCATGCAAATACAAAAAAAAATCCCCGCTTTTAGTTTGAAGGCAGGTGGGTGTTGACGTTCTCGGCCTCTTGCGTGTGCCCTAGCAGCTGAGTGTCTTGGCAAAGATTGTAAGAGATTTAGGAGTTACTGTCATGACAGTACACAGTGAAGATACAAAAGCGGATAGAGCGTGTAGAGTCTTTAACAAGAGATAAATTTCTTAGTGTTTATTTACTGGAGACTGTGGCAAAGCAGTTAGCTCAGTCTGTGAAAAACAAACTGTTGTTGCTAAGAATGGCAACTTAAATCAGCATTAGACTGAACACATGACTTCAATGCACATGTTAAAACCCAACAATAATTCTTTTAACAGAAACAAAGAAATACTAAAAAGTTTATATTAGTGTTTGAAATAGAGCAAAGCATGCAAATTTTTACAGCTGTTTTTATAGCTGTTTTAAAGAAATAAAGTTTCAATTATTTATCACTGGTTCAGATTTTTGTAGTCCATTTGTAGTGTCTTTTTAGCAGCTAATGGAAATTATATTTATAGCTACTAATAAAAGCTCTGCTTGACGGAACTGAGTTTAGTCGTTGGTCTGGCAACAAGTCCCGGTTCCATTTGTGGCCCTTTGGGGAAAAGCAGTTTCCTACCCGTGCTCTAAGAACATGCCAGTTGACCAAACGTCAAGCTTAAGTGTAATAAAGAGAGATATTTGATTTAACTGCTGACTGGACTGCTTTGCCACCAGGTGTACTATTCATCAGGAGGTCCAGAGCACGCAGACACCTGGCTGACCCCAGCTCATAGAGGTCTAACTGTTCTGGCCCTTTAAATAGGGGCACAGCGGTGACCTTGTGTCATCATTCTTCTTCACTCCTGTGCTGCAGCTTACAGGTGGATGAAGTAGATTAAACTCTACAAGGCTTGTCTTTGTACATACAAGTCAGTACTGAATGTCTTGTTGTCTGTGTGGTTACATATGTACAGGACTATGTATTCTCTAGGGACACCTGGAACTTAAATGTTCCTTTTTTTTAGCTGTCCATCTGCAGAGCTGACAGGCAGAAATAGAGTTGTGACAGTTATGTGTGGGCTTCTGGGTCGTCAGGGTTTCTGTGTTTGATGTGTTCGTTAATTGGGACCTTCAAGCTGCTATGAGCAGCTGTGCAACAGCTGATGACATTCCCCCTGGTTTCTCTGCACGCTTCCTTTCAAACCCTCTGCTTTCACGTCCACTCATCATGGGTTACTACATAATGAATGTTTATATTGTCTCAAATATGTACTGTTCTGTTCCGTGTAACTTAAAAAAAACTTTAAAATTCCTTTAAAAAAGTATTTGTTTGATCAGTGCATGTTTTTTTTGTCAGTTTCAGAGGATGAGGTGACAAGGGAAGCCAGTGATTTGGGGGTCACAAGGGAGCAATATGTTGAGGATCTTCTTCAAGCGTTGAAAAATAGTGAAGAAAGAAAAGAGAAAGATGACAAAGAGGTGTTTTCCTTTCATCTTGCTCCAGATCATCGCCATCTTTCATATAAGAAGATTGGCAACATTTCGGTGAGGAAAACTCCGTGGTGAATAATTGTTTTAATACTTATTATTAAAAACACAAATCTTTTACTATTACCATTTTTTCAAAGCCAATAAAGTTGCAGTTTGAATGGAGAAAAGCTTTTTATGGAGAGAGGCCTAAATAAAAATTGTTTTACATTTAATAAACAGCTAAACTTTTGCTGCATCATCAGGCAACGCGGTSCAATGGCTAATCAAAGGTATTAGTGCTAAACTGTCTCCTTGGTGTCGAAAAAACAAATCWAAAAATTGCTCAAGTGGCAAAAACAGCTGTTATTAAACTGGGCAATTATGTAAAGTTTTGTTTGCCTTTTTAAAGACATAAACATTAAAATAGAAAAACAATTTTGATCTTTATCATTCGATAGGATGCTTTTTATTAAAACTTGAGCATCAGTTTGCAATTATAACTGCTTTGACTGAAAGGGAAGTTACTGGTTTTACTGACTGTTCTCATGTTTACTTTTATTCTTCTACGTCACAATTCAACAACTACAATTCTATGTTTTCTGCTTCAAAGAGGTCATCTACAAAGCAGTGGGTGACATAAATGTAGCCACATCACATTTCCGGGCCACCAGTTTGGAGTGGATATACACTTTAACATTGAGGTTATGTTGCTGGGTGAGTTCCACTGCAACTGGTTTCCTGTGCTTTAGATCAGTGGGGAACATGAATGAGTACCTCAGTTGTGAATTCTGTAATAGTATACCCCTCTCTGTTATCATCCCTCCCTGGAGACAAATGCCTTTAATGGTATACAACAAAAATAGAAAGGAAGTCCTTTTTTTACGGGGGGTGGGGGGGGGGGGGTGTTTAAAAGATAAGGTTTATGGTCTCCTCACATTATAGTAGAGTAATAAAAGTTTAGTTGCCCTCAGGTAACTGTGAAGCAGTCACAAATACTGTAGGTATATTTGCCATCTAAATTCAAAAGAATAAGGTAGCTGCCATCCAAGAAAATGGTTTGTTAATTAGAGTTTTGTGTTAAATGTCTGCAATAAAAACAGTATATTTAGGGTTACGGGTTAAAGGCTGTTGGGCAATAGATCACAGTGAATGACATATTTGATGAAGGACAGGTCATGCTTCTCCCAGACTGTGAGAAGGTTCTGCTGCCTTCGGGGAGCAGGTCATTTGGGGTCTTTGGACTGTTGGAGCAGAGCTGACCGCAGAAAGAAGGCCAGGAGGTTAGGAACACAGCAGACACCATAAAACCCTGATTTATGGACGAGGCAGCCCTCGTGTTGATTAGACCCCCCCTCCTCTTCTTTATTAGTCCAACTCTCCCTGACTTTGAGTTACTGTTTTAAACTGTTTGTTTACGTGTGGACATTTGAAACCAAATTTGTGTAACACTTGCTTTTTTAAATTATTTTTTGTTTTTCCTTATTGACGGCCATGAAAATTGGTCAGTAATGTCATTGCCTCTGTGTGTGTGTGTGTGTGTGTGTGTGTGTGTATGTGTGTGTGTGTGTGTGTGTGTGTTTGTGTGTGTGCATATTGTTTGTTTGTCTGTCTGTAACCACTGTATTTGAAGAACCACTGCTTTTAATCAAACTTTCAGAAATCAGTCATTTGCTGTGCATCTACTAACATTTGGAGTCAACCTAATTCAAGACAAACACATAAACAGCTATAACTCGATCAGTTATTAAAATATTTAGCTAAAATTTGGTGTTGTAGTATCTAAAAGTCTAACAGGCTTTGCAAGGTCTTTGTTCAAACATTTGGCATTCACTGTTGAAACCAGTCCCGTCTGCCTGTTTACAGAATATCTCATCAACTGCCAAACAGATTTGAATGAAACTCCCAGAAAATAATCATTGGATGTACATCTACACCTGCTTTGGTCTTAACCAAATTCAAGGTGACCACCAAAGCTAATTGACCTTAGAAAACAAAACAGTGATTTAACACAATTAATCTTAAAGATTATAGGTTAATTTTAATGCAATTGTACCTGCGCTTCATTTCTAATACATACTCCTGAGAGATAACAGATTGTGAGAGCTCATGATAACAAGTACAATTGTGCACATTGTTATTTTTGAGAATTATCCAAAGTGGCTATAACTCCATTGTTTTTCAAGATGGTCTTAAAAACCATAAAAGGTGGTGTATAAAATGCATACCTTTAAAGGGATCCCCAATTAGTTGTAGCATTAGACTTTACTTGATAAAGATATATTTTTAACTGTAAAATAAAGACTGTAAAATACTGTAGGCTGTTTAGTTTTGTAAATGTTTGAAAATATATTTTAACATGGACGGAGCCATTTTATTTACACGCAAAGCATTCTGGGTAAATGATGACATGGATAGGTCCTCAGTGTGAACGAGCTATATCCACCCTGAAGGTTAATCTTGGACAATATCTGATGATTGGCTCTTTTAAATAAACCCAGAGTGTTGACAGAGAGGAGAAGGTAGAGGACAACAGAGCTGCTTCATGGAAGAAGAACATCAGCTTAGCCTGTTAGCCTTTGCGCTAGCGCCGATGCTATATTGCCTTATATGTATTAGCTTGGTGCCAGCGTGACAAACAAGCTCAACTGAGGTCCTCCATCCATATTTTCAGTTGCAGGCTGAGTCATTTTTGCGTTCCCCTCTCTGTCATGTGGATGGAGGACCTCAGTGATGAGAGGAGAATGTGTAGCGCTGAGCTAATACATATATATGGTGATAGCATCGGGGCTAACGCTAAAGCTAACAGGCTAAGCTGAGGTTCTTCCATGAAGCAGCTCTGTTGTCCTCCATCTATATTTTCAGTTACAGGCTGAGTCATTTCTACCTTCTCCTCTCTGTCAACGCTCTCTGGTTTCATTTAAAAGAGCCAATCATCAGATATTGTCCAAGATTAACCTTCAGTGTGGATATAGCTCGCTAGCAGCCTCGCACTGATGACCTATCCATGTCATCATTTACCCGGAATGCTTTGCATGTAAATAAAATGGCCCTGTCCATGTAATATATTTTTTAACTTTTAGTTTAAAAATTATAAAAACTAAACAGCCTACAGCATTTTAAAAGTCTTTATTTTACAGCTAAAATATATGTTTATCAAAGTTACAGCTAATCATGGATCACTTTAAGGACTGCTTGACGCTTGGAACCTCTTTAAAGCCAGACACATCATTGAAGATCAAATATTTGGAGTTTTTATTCTCCCATATTGGCTCCTTAGTATGTCCAGTGCTTCAACACGTGAAAGTTTTGTGTTATCAGGGATGGACTGGTCGACCATCGCCCCTCACTTCCTGCTCTTTATCTGACCTCACGCCTCTTCACAGCAGATGAGAGGGAATTTATGGAACAAGCTGATCTCAGCCTCTGTGCCCACTTTCCCCGGTCTGAGTGCCCAACCTTGAACACTGTCTCTTTGTCCTCAGGTGCGCCCACTCACGTCCCCATTCTTCAGACACAATACTTATTTTGAGATAACGCAGTGCAAAAGATCAGTGGCAATTGAGCTTTTATTGTGTTTGTAATATTGGCTATTGCTCAGATGTTGTATTTCAAGATTTAAAGCATCACTAATAGCATGAGCAGTTGCAAACATTTTCTTTCTCAGACCTGAGTCCTTGGCTAAAAGAGGAGATTATCCCACAATCTTTGGGATCAAATGTCAGTTTCAGTCTTCAGCAGTGTGTTGGATGGTGTGATAACAAAAGCTTTGTTTTCTGTGCCCACAGCATGTAATGGTATCATTTTCACTGAGGCAGTTGTCCTGCACACCTACGTCAACATTTGACCTTATGATCTGGGTGGCTGGCTTAAGACACACACAAACAAACATCTAGACCACACACATTGGACCACATTGTGATTACAAACAAATTATTCTACAAATTTTTTTATTATTTTCACACATTTAACTGAGCGTTGCTCGGCGGGATGTCAGAGTTTCTTTTCTCAGGATATAGGTCAGAAGCAGATGAAATATTTGTTTGAAGCATTTGATTTAATTTTAACTGCACTTTTGTTGTTTCCCTTTCAATATAAATTAGGCCATATGGTGCAATACTGAGCATTATTTGTTAAAATTTTAAAGACCAATTCATTGTTGTTTCAGTTGAGCAGAAAAATGTGGCAGTGAGTTTTCCATCACAGACAAAGAGTCTGACCTCCCACATCTTGGCAGTGGTTGGCAACAGCAAGTGACCTTTAACTTTGCGTCTCAGGAAAAACAAACAGAGAAAGGAGAGGTTGAATGACTCTTCTTCTCTACTGTCTCTTAAWTTGATTTTACTGGAAAAAACAACAAAAAAAAAACATTAGTTAACATCTGTCTCAACCAACAGACATCATTCTTGGACTGACATTTTGTGTCTTGTTTTGTGTAATCCGTCTATTTTCCATGCAGTAAAGGTAAACTTGTAGTGATGAGGAATACATGTGCTCACTCCATTAGGTCTTCTCAGAGACCCTGAAAACAAATACAGTGAAAAATGCAGGGGCAGAACAAATAAACAGCAGCTGAGGTTCGTTTCCAATGCTCATTCAGTAAATAGAGGTTAAGCTTTGAGCAGTTCAGATGTCTCTGGCTGGTGTCTTCAGCCGGTCAAAGTGATGATTAGAAAGATTTATGAGCTGAAATGGTGTAGAGTGGGTAGGTCAACATTTGACAAAGTCCCAGTCATTATATTAATATGAGACTTGTACTGTACATGTAGGACACTGTGCTATTCTTTGAAGTGTAAAAATGTAAGCGTACGCAGCACAGAGCTTTTCCTGCATTCGTTTTCATGTGGGTGATTTATCACCTTATGACCTTCCTTAGGTACAGAGTGCAGCAAAGATTTACCGTAGGTACTAAGGGAAAAAGCAGAGAATAGGTTTGAGGAGAAAATAGAAAGGAGGTCTGAAGAAAGATCAAAGCTTGCAAATTAGTTCATGCAATTTGTGCTGCCCTGCATGTAAGCCAATAAATGGTAAAAAAAAAAAAAGTATCCTCAGTAGTATAGCATCCAGGACATGGTCAATCTTAAGAGTTTAAAAAGAAAGCAGCTAGACTTCCCTTCTTAAGTTGAAGATGTTTCATTTACCATTTAGAGTTCCTTGAATGAAATTAGGATAGAACTTCTTCCTATTGGGGCAGCTGTGGCTCAGTGGTTAGACATTTTGTTCTCAACCAAGAGATCCGGAAGTTCGAATCCACCAGTCACATGTCGAAGTGCCCCTGTGCAAGCCACTGAACCCGTCATTGCCTCCAATCTGTGCCTCATTGATGTATGGATGCAATCTAAAGCACTGATTAGTCCCTGTAGAATGATTTGTTCAGACTATCTGTGTAGAGATGTAGGAGTGTTGTTTGAATGTGTGTGGATAGATAAACAAGGGCACAGATTGTCTTGTAAAGTGATTTTGGTAGCCTGTTTGGCTAGATACTGATAGGTGATACATTCCATTTACTATTGTACACCATTCTTTCACTTCTTTAAATACTTAATGTAAAAATTYCAACAGTAAAAGTTGCATTGCAGATCTATGGGAGTTGTGTAAAGCCATTAAGTGATGTTCAAGTTCAGCTACAAAAGACACAACAGCTGTGTGACCTGAGACTTTGAATATGGTGGCTTTATTACAGTGGGTATTCAGCCTTACAGCGCATCCTAGGAAAAATTTAGCACTGTTCAACCTTCTGGTTTTTCAGTGCATCACGAGCAGTACTCTCTCTCTCTCTCTCTCTCTCTCTCTCTCTCTCTGTCTGTCTGTCTGTCTGTCTGTCTGTCTGTCTGTCTGTCTGTCTGTCTGTCTGTCTGTCTGTCTGTC